GATACTGGCGGCTCGCGACATGTCCTCATAGGAGGAATTTGTGCAGGAACCGATCAGGCCAACCGAGATGGTCATTGGCCAGCCTGCCTCCCGGGCTTTCTTACCCAGCTGTAAACACACAGTAAAAAGACACACAGAATTACCCCTATGTAGTCCACGACGCGGCACAACACAGGAAGGGTAAGTGAAAGGAGGGGAAATTATCGGAGAAACATCTCTCACGCTCTAATATAAGGCAACTTTAGCCAATAGTCTTGGACAGAAAAGGAGAGCTGAAGCCGGCCGACCTAGGAAACAACACGCAGCACGGAACCAAAAATTAGCCTTGCCTATTTAGAGGCGTGAACAGAAATCGTGAGAAGGGTCTAAATCTAAGTGAAGTATCATGCGATTCCTGAAATCGGTACGCGCCTGTCCTCTGATGACAAGAGCCAGTATAAATTCGAAGCTGTAGGGGATTTTCGGTGCCCTTAAAATGTAAACACATTTTGCGGAAAATATGAACAGAAGTATTTTCCACTGAACTTATTGGATAGTAAATCAAAACTTTAAATGTTGTACTCAGGGAATATTTTGGTTTTAAGAAGGTTGCGATTGTGTGACTTTTTAAAATTATGCAATTAACATTCGAATAACAGCGTAAACCATCGTGTATTGATGCTGGTTATGAACTATAAAAAGTGGTGTCCAAAAGCCGTTGGGACTAAACGCACTGAAAAGCCAACATCCTGGCCTGCCTAAAATTTCTTAGGGTTATGATGCATAACAATCAATATTAAAAGCCTTGGTTTCTCAGGGCTGGGGATTCGAGCTCGTGTTCTTTGGTCAGAGAGAGAGAGATAGAGGGTTTTAAAGCCCAATGCCTTGCCCCTGAGTTACGGACCGGTCGTCCTGTCGCGTACGCTTGGAAATAATTCATGCATCATTACTGCTCACTTTGCCACTGGACTGCAAGGACTCTAGATTAAGCTCCATGCCAAAACGTAACGAGCATTACCCGCAGCCTAATCAAGGTCAGAGGCATAAATGAACAAAAAAACAAGGACCGAATTTCAAGTCCTGCAAACGTGGGCTTGGGTGATAAGGGCTGACAATTGTTGGTAAATCGGAAATAGCCATCACGGTCTTTATTGTCCTTACTGGCACTCCTTCCACTACAAGACAAGAAGAGAAATTCCACGGACAAAAGTAAGGCAAACGACTATAGACCCTTATTAAATGGCAAGTCCAAAATATATACACTCGAGATTCAGGCAAAATTCAGAGAATGAATTAGAACTGATAAGCAAGCGTACAAAGACTGAGGAAAATGATAGATGTGGCAATCTTTTACTACACTCCTTGTCTTCCTGCCTCTAAACTTACCCATACCTCAAAGGGTCTGCACATTTGTCCCAAAACAGAAACGTTCTGAGCTGTTATGCCTAATCGGCACGAAATTTGAGGGCAATAATACTTAAAGGAGCCGACG